GAATTACATTTTTCTTCCCTATTTTTTTTTTTTTATCCATCTGTCATTATCTGAGGGAACGTCATGTTTCCATTTCAGAGGTATGAAACATCTGGCCCAGGAGTAATGTGAGCCACTTCGGATTTTTTCCTTTAATAAGAGGAGGTTTGTTTCCCGTAGGGAGGCCTCCAACAGAGCTGTGGTTTTAGGTTAACTGGCACAACAGCTACGTCCTTAAAGGTTCTCAACATAATCACCATTAAGTGACTGACTCATGTCGAGTGTGGGAGATAAATGCCACACTGTTATGATATGCTTATTTCCTATTTAAAGCAAAAAATAATCCGCATTTATCCATTGAATTATACAGCTTGTGAAGAGAGAAGACAGACAGCGGTGGAATATGACTAAGTGCATTTACTACATTTAGTATTTCCATTTTATGCTACTTTATACTACTTCTAAATATTATACTTTTCACAACAGTAATTACTAGCATATTAAGATTTTATATTCTAAAAACATGATAATCTTATAAAATACAACACATCTGTGGCTTGTGACTGCTTACAAATAATAAATATAACAGTCACAGGCCATCTCTCTGCTGAATGAGTACTTTTACTTTAAGTACATTTAGCCGATAATACTTATATATTATTATTATTATAAATATTTTTCTTTAGCAGGATTTTGCATGCAGGAACTTTACTTTCAAACACTTTTTACATAATCGTATGGGTGACTAAAGTAAAGGACCTGGGCACTTCTTCCACCACTGAAGATCAGTTGTCCAGGCCAAAAGAAGCGTGAAAGGCAGAGGGAACATGTAGGCCATGTGCACAAGTGAAGCACATGTGTACAGGCCAAAATGAAGTTTTTAGTGTGTGTGTGTGTTGGAACTGAAGCTGAAATATGTTATTTAATTTACCTAGCCAAGGAAAACCAAAGACCAATTGGAAAGAATCGTGTTATCATACATTTTTACAACACAGTAAAAAAGCTAGAAACTCCATCCCAATTGCTTTTATTGCAATCAACATCATCATGGTTATGTGGCAGTATAAAACAACGTGTGTTTGAAAAGATTAAAGCTGATATAAGATGTTCACAGTGACAGATTTCCAGGTTTTACTCACTTCAAGTTAGATTTTCCTTCAATACAGAGATGATGATGATGAAAAAACACTCAAACAACTGCATCCACACCCACAGTGCTACATAATTAGCTTGTAATCAGTTATATAAATAAATGTGTTATTTTATTATTATTAGAAGTAGTAGTGACAATAGTTTTCTATGGTCATTATTCATTAACAACCGCAGTGCTGGAGTTTGTTGCTGCAGTATCTGCGTCGTCTCTTTGTGAGATGATGAGACTGCCCTCTTCAGGTTGCATATGAACTGTCCCTGGGTCAGATTATACAGCCGTGTGGTGTCAAGTTATACCGACTCCTTTCAGCCTATCATGCAATTTTATTTTCTTCATCTTCTTCACAAGGACAATGCACATTAATCAGTGTTTCTATAAATGTGCCAGCCAGCTCTTTTTCAACTGCAGTCCTTGAAGTGACAAACACAGCACAGTAAACACAAGATAAATCATACTTCTTAATAAAATACAAACAGAACTAGTTTGAAAGTTGGTCAAATAGTAATATAACACTAAACATGTAAGCTCACCTGCACAATTGTAAAAATATGAATGTCACATTGTTAATGAAATACTAGTAAATACATGCAGACATACCCAAAGCATGCAAAGCAGACCATCTGGCAACAGGCACGGGACACAAGAAAAGTTAGCAGCAAACATACCAAAAGCTTATAAAATATGATGTTTTGTTTTAAATGAAATTACCCAGCAGTACATACAAGTACAGCTGAAAGGATTAGTTGATTAATCAGGTAATCAAAAATTAATTAGACAGTATTTGCATTTGGAGAAGGAAGGTGTCACTCTGGGTAATTGTGACAGCACTTCTCATAATTTCAGAATTTTTATGAAACACACAATCGATTAATTATGAAAATAATCATCAGATTAATACATAACATTAAAGATTTGTTGCTGTCCTATACAAAGTAGTTCAAAATGAGCTCTATCTCAACAAATGACAATAAAATCCTGCTTTTACATGAATAATAATAATCTAATGATACAGTATATGATAGTATGATGTTATCTGCGCTGAGAAAGAACAGCTTGCTACAGTCCAGCTTGCCATGCAGCTGCTGTTAAGCATGTTAGGTGTATACAGTACCTACGAAACTTTCATGGCAGAATGACAGTCCCAAAAAAACCCATATATTTAATTATTAACTGTTAGTCATACTCATTAAGTATGGGTACATTTTGAGGAAATAACAGTTTAACAGTTTTGTCACCAGACCTCTGATAATGTCCAGCTCAGTGGAGGTCACCAGCCAGAGGACACATCTGCTCCTCTCACCCTTCTCACGCTCAGGCAATGAAATTTCTGTGCCTGAATTTAATATTCCGTAACAGACAGACAGCAAGGCCAACAGGAAGTAGTATAACATTTATTATAGGGTGGCACACAACACAGAATAACATGAACACATGCTTAAAATGCGATGCTGGATCAGTTGTCCAAAGGCCAGTGTTACATGAGAAGCCACAAGATAAATCTACGTTATAATTTGAATACAGATTATAGATTATTTCTATGATAGACAACAGATGAAGACAAGGGTTAAGGCGTAGGTCTGTTTGGTCTTTAACCACATTCTCCTCTAAAATGCCACTTGGAGTATCAGAAAGTTGCCTCCGTTCTGATTAGTCAATGCAAATTAAAAAAAATAGTTATTTTCTGGCACAAAATGTGATGGACAATTTAATGAATGACAGTACTTTAAGAGGTCCAGATTCCAAAGGAAAAGCTGTAAAATGCTACATCTCATCTAAATATATATATATATATATATATATGTGTTCCCTGGTACATTTGCATTGCAGAATGTCATTATACATAAAACAGAAGTAGAAAGAGGAAAGCTTACAGCTCAACATTATACATGTATAACATATTCTAAAAGTTAGTCTCATATTTATCATAGAATACCTCATCAGTGTATGATTACCACAGTCAACATTAAAGTATAAATGAACTCCTCATTATTTAACAAAGGCACTGTGTACAGAAAGAAACCCTACTTTTCTAAGTAACAGGATTATTTTAAGCATTTTTTTTTTTAGCTATTTGTATCTTTTCACAGATTGGAAACGACCACTCACAAGCTATTTAAACTGGGTCCGATATGTAAAGAACATAATGCAACTCGCCACCTTTCAAACAGCCTCATGATTCTGCAACTGCTCCAATTATCAGCTCGGAGACTAAATTAGGCAGGTTAGTTTAGTGTTTTTCTATCCTAATGGCTGCCAGGGACTGGTGCAGTCTATCACTCGGGTGTATAAAAAGGTTCCACGTTGACGTCTGAGTGAAGACGAAAACATCATCTATTATGCAGCTAAGTTAAAAAAGACATCCATGGCCCAACCAGACCACACTGTGTAAACTGTCAGAGGGCTCTGCCAGGCTGCACTGAGTTATTGAAAATGGGACAGTGTATGCACGATCAGGATCTTTGTCAGGGTTGAATGACTAATTACTGATATCAGACATAATAAAAAGACTGGCCATTTAAATTATGGTACAGAATATTATATATCAACAGATTAATAATATTGTATTTGCAGCAAGCCAGGCACTGAGCACACCAACATTTACAGGAGGGAAAACGGCTGCAGAAACACATCAGAACTTCGAGGGAATTATAACATTCATGTCAAAAATAAAAACAAGATGAAGTTTGCTCAGACCAAACAAGCCACAAGCTTCATGTTTATTCACAGACAATAAGGAAAATGGTGTGACTGACATCTTCATGACAGTCTGTGGCAAAATAACAACACATTTAAGGTCACAGATGAAAAGTGGTTCAAGATCATTCACGATTAAAAAAAAAGGGGCAGCCCGACCTAACTGTGTGCACAGCAAGCAGGCTGGATAAAACAACTGAGGTCGATAAAAGAAGATGAAGTTTAAATTTATAAACAGGCAGCGACAGCAAGCTTATTTAGTTTGGAGAGTAACTCAATGTGGGTTAAAATCCTGCCATCTAGAGGTTGAATCATCCAACTGCTCCCTGTGTGAGATAGTGCTGATGTAACACTGAACCATCACTTTGGACACTGGCTTTCATCTGGCTCTCAGTGGTTAAATGATTGTAACAGACTTCATGTAGTAATTAGAGCCAATCGGCAAAAAACAAACAAAAAAAATTGTTGCAGCAGGAAAACTGCTCCAACTGCTCGACTTTGACATTTACCCAACTGAAGATCTCCCGAGCACAAACAACATGTACCACCTCATCACATGCTTATCCTCCAACGGGCCGACTGAATGCAGCATTAAATCCCTGCTTTGTCATCACAGACTGGGTGCGGTCAGATATGAAATACAGTGGCAACTTTCAAACCAGAGAAGTACGGGATGCCTTGGTAGTCGATGGGTTTATAGCACATGCCACATGGTCACAACTGTAGCCAGTCCAATCCCAGCTGCATGTCATACCCCCACCCCCACCGCCCCTCTCCATTTCCTGTCTGCCTACACATGTGACTATCCAATAAAGGCAAAAATCCGCAAAAAGAAATCTAAACAAACAAAAAAAAAAAAAGGTGAATATGTACAGTCTGCAAAAGTGAACATGTCAAACATCTGAGAAACATTATCACATCTGAGGAAGAGGACTAACAGAGAAGTGATTAATAAAGAAATGTTCAGTAAGCCTGGCAGGCATCTTTTAAGGCTAATCTTTTTTAAAGTATGGCTTTGTGTTATGCATTTGCTTAACGTTTATATCTGTCCAAACACGTGACAAAAGTGAAGAGTAAACACTACTGTTAGTATAAGCAGATGTGAGGAGAACAGGGAACAATATTTAAACGTCATCCATCTATAACACGGTGATATACTCTGACATAAATCTTACTAAAGCCAAACCGCTGTCCTAAGGGCTGGGCACTTGAGTGGTGAACAGGCACTGCCCATCAGAATTGAGAAGACAGACAACAAGACAATACGTTGCGAGGTAAGAAGTATCCTACAAGTGATTCAAATATCACTGATATTGTAGTATACTGTAAATTTTACAATCACAGTGGGTGAAGATCTGCTGAGCCTTAAGTGTAACAGCGATTTGGTAATCCATTATGTTCTCTGAGTTAGACAGAGGTCTAACTAATTACTAACTAACAAATAAGAGTTTTAAAACAAAGAGGAAAATTAAAATAAAATAAAAGCTGCCTATCCACTCTGTGTTCAGTCTACTTCACACTACTTTACTAGCTGGGCTCTGAGCATTAGATAAATGACTGTGATGAAAAGACAGGAGCTGAGACACAACACCTCCACTCTTTCCAGCACATTGTACTGAAGACGGTGGTGTTTCTCCTTCTATAAATTACCACATTTAAATCGGGCAAACTCAGACGTGTGTCTCTCAAAAATACCCAGCTCTGCTTTGGATGGCCTGTAGGAGTGAACAGGATTGCAGCATATAATCCTGGCAGTGTGATAAGAATCAGTGTGTCTAAAACAACAAAAACAACACAAGATGCATACAGTCTGGTCCTTTAGATGTAAGGCCCCAGCTAGTTTGTTTCCTTTAGAAAATTAAAAACCTCTTAAAAATATAAAACACCTCTTTCATTGGCATCAAGTGTTTCTTGTCAAAGGCATTTGCATAAGGGGTTAGAGGCTGAAAAAAACTATTGTCATGCTAGAGGCAGATATATGTCGAAGGATTCAGAGTAACAAGTCTGTGGCCTGATTCATCACATGGCTGTCTGGCACTGTGGGCTGACCATTTTCTGGAGCAGAGGAATCTGTGGGATCAGAGGACATAAGGATTAGTTGGCTTTAACAAAGAGTAACAAACATAAGGGCCTAGCACACAGTGCTGTCACACATTCATAAACCACAGCTATATGATATATTCCTCTGTCACAGCTATTTACCACTTCAGAATGAAATATGAAACTAGAAAAAGACAATTTCTGGAGAAAATACAGGTGACTACTGCTGGACATGGATGCTAATATAAGGACATGTATTTTTTTATGGACACATTAAACTTTAGCATCCCCTGATGGCCAGTCATAACTAACAAGGGGTTGGTGATAAGCTGATCAAATTATGGCCAGTTATTTTGAGTTATGACCATTTACAAGTATCATGTCTCTATAACACCAACTGTAGACACAGTGCATTTAAACAGTACAACGATCAATTATAACCTCTCTGCTGCATCAAACAACAGTAGAATAACTTAAAGCTCATCCAAATACGTTAAAAATTTGAAAAACAAAATGGCTAAAAATGAAGGTAATTATTTTATTTGCAAAAAAATTTGCATTAATTTAATTAAATTAATTAATTTAATTTTTAGCTACTCAGGGGGCAGCTGAACTAGCTGAACAAGTTGAAAATAAAACACTGACATATTATCACATTCTAAAGTTGTTATGGTGACCGTGTGAGCAAACAGTTGCCTATTCACACAGAACTTTTATACTTTGTTCATAATGTGGGTGGTAAAATTCTCCATGTGGCTTCCCAGGCTGAAAAGTCCCTGAAGACTTGAGTGATAAACCAACAGCATGGAGGCTGCAGCTTGGCAAGATGGAGGTTTGAGGAGCGTTGGCGGGTGTTTGTGCTCTATTAAGTGCCCTCGGGTCAGCTGTTGTAATGTTTTATTCCATTGAAAAGTTAATTTTCTAGCAAATATATACGGCTCAACAACAGTTTTTGTTTAAGAAATTCAAACAGTCAAATTTTCTAGCAATCATACAAGAATACAGCTGATGCTGAGGATAACACTAGGCAAAATTCACAGGAGGGGTCTGATGAAATATATGAACTCCCACCTTAGTCAGATCCACTCCAGTGAGGGCGTTGACAGACACGGGGAGTTCAGCTAATAGACGGTTCACCTCTCCAGTCACGCGGTTGCCGTCTCCACTCAGGATGACAATCTCATTAGTCCTGGACAGGGGTGCAGCCACCTTGCCGGCGATCTAATAGAACACAGCGAGCGTCCGTTTGTTATTTCACTGACAAAGACACTCCTCATACCGTCTATACATCTGAGGATTGACAGGTATTTATATACATGTATTGCCATTAATTCTGTTTCTGTTTGGTACCAAAATCATCAGTGTCTGATAAATAGATCTGACCAGTGTGTATGCCAATGCTTCAACAAACACCATGTTGAAGAACTCTAGGGAAATTAACCTAAATGTGAGAAAGTTAGTACTTGTAGCATCTGTAAAGCACAAGTGTTAGTTAATTTTGAATGATCCACATGTAAACGTGTCAAGTGTAATAAGGAAACATAAGAAAAGGCACTCTTCTTGACAATGGCAGATTGTTTCTCTTCTTATTTACATAGGACAGTATGTTTTAATGCAGTTGATCCATAAGGGAATTATCTGATGGTGAAGATTAGCTTGCTGATGTTTGACAATAACCTATAATAATAATAATATTTTACAATATGTGTGTAATTCTTAGCATTCATGCAAAAAAAACTGTTTAAAGAAGACACAGAGATGACTTTTGTGCCAATCTCCCAATGAAGACATTGGGTATTCAGACCAATAAACCAAACTCCCCAAATGTTGGTGATATCTTTTAAAACCAGTGGTGTATAAACGTATACCACAGACCTTGGGCAGAGCCTCCAGGACCAAAGCAGTCTTGGCAGCATCGCCGTACTGCTGGTAGGCTTCAGCCTTCAGCCTCATCTTCTCAGCCTCTGCCTTCCCCACAGCTTCAATGGAGGCAGCCTCTGCCTCACCTATGAAGCGGATCTTCTCGGCCTCTGCCTGCGCCGTCAGCACCTTCTTTGTCCTGGGGTTAGGGTTGGACAAGCAGCAAGCATTAAACATTTAGTATGGAGACATCAAGACATGATGCACGGTGCGTTGAAGGGTGATCTGTGTCCCACTCACTTCTGTCCCTCAGCCAGCTGCTGCATCTTGTAGGCTTCAGCCTCTGCAGGTCTCTTCACAGTGGCGATGAGCTCCTTGTCAGTGCGGGCGATCTCCTTGTCCTCAATAGTGATCTGCTTCTTTCTCTGCACCACCTCGATTTCAATCTCCTCCAGACGGATCTTCTGCTGCTCTTTGGCCGCCTGCAGCTCATACGCCAGCTGGGCCTCTGCTTTCTAGAGAGGCGGGAGGTTTTATTCATATATTTACTCTCATGTTTGATTGTTGAAGATTTATTCAATCTAAGCTATACAACTTGATACCTTTGTGTTCACTTCCTGGTTAAATGAAGCTTTCTGCATTTCCAGCTCTCGTTTGGAGTCGGCCATTTTTGTGTCGGCTAAGAACTTAACGTCCATCATTTCTTTCTTACACTCAGCTTCCTGTAAAAAACAGTGTGCAGAAGATAATGACAGGGAGATGGATTAGGAGCAGTTTGGTAATGTGATATTAGCTATTAGCTAATAGCAATCAGACAATGGATGTTTTGTGCTTGCTTGTAGTTTTATATTCGTCTTATGGCCTTACCCTGATGCCAGCATCTCTCTCTGCCTCTGCCACTCCAATGTCTGCATCCCTCTGTACTGCAGCTGTCTGAGTTTTGCCCAGTGAGCTCAGGTACTCCACTTTATCATAGACATCCTATCAGGAGGAAAAAATAAATATGGAGATACAGTATGGTTAGTAATTCAATTATTCTGATTGACTGATGACATGAACATGTCCATGTCTCAAACCTTGATGGTGAAGCTGAGAATCTCGATGCCCATGCGGCCGACATCAGGTGCAGCAACCTCTCGCACCAGAGTGGCAAATTTGTCTCGGTCCTGGTAAATCTGCTCAACAGTCAGGGTGCCTAAAAGGATGGAAACTGTGGTCAGTGCTTTCCCATTAAATAGTTGTTATTCAAAAGGACCAGTGTGTAGGATTTAGTGGCATCTAGTGGCGTAGTTGCAGATTGCAGCTCACTCGTTTCAACCTCCCGTTCTAAGTGCAAAGGAGAAACTACGGTGGCTGTGAAACTCCAACCCCCTATTTAGTGCCAGTGTTTAGTTTGTCAGTTCTGTTCTACTGTAGAAACATGGCGGTTCAACATGCTGACTCCATGTAAGACGACCTACTCTTAGACGTGACATTGACAAAGATGGGCAGTATGTTAGGAGAGCGCAATGGGCGAATGATCTGCGACATTGTCAGATATATACAGCCTCATTGTAATCCTCTACAATCAACTGATATATAACACAGTAATGAATTAAGCTACACTTCACAGCAGCTTTTACAGTTGATGTTTGAACACCTCCCCCTCTGACGCAGAAGAAGTTCTACATAATTCTTTTGTGACAGCAATGTATTTGAATAAACAGGAGCAGCAGTTGCAAGGTATGTCTGTCAGTCGGTTTCCTCGTGATTATTTTGATCAATCACTCTGTATTCAAGTCAACCATGTTTTACCAAAATGGAAATTAAACTGAGGAAAGCTGAGTCAGTACTTAAACCTGGCTCTAGGCTATACACAACCACCTCTCTGGTAAAACTGCTTCACACAGTGACTCAATTGTGGTGAGGATCTTACCTCATACTGAATGAAACTGATAAAACAAATTTTTGATGGCTAATTTTGCTACATGTTTTGACTTCATGTTGCCAAAATAAAAATAAAAACAGAGGAAACAAGACAAGATCTGATGGAGCTATCTTGTCTTTGTCTCCCCTTCTTCTCTACTTTGCTAGATTATCTGCCTAAATAAAACAAAACAAAATCAAGCAGTGACAATGCAGTTTTGGCAGACTACCCACCAAGGATGGCACGCAGGTGACCCTCGAGGGTCTGCAGGATGACACTCTTGATCTCAATGACTGACTTCCCCAGGAACTGTTCACAGGCATAACCCAGCAGCTCATTTTCTGTCATCACCTTCACCTGGTGCCAACGTGGACAAAGATCGTCAGCTGAACACACATCCACAAACACAAGGCACAAATACAAATACAGGCCCACATGGAAACACGACAGATACTAGCTTTTGTGGTATCATCCAACAATCATTTTCTACCTGCTCAGTTACCACACATCATTCTTTTCTTTTTACATTTACAGTACACCATCAGTAATGTATAGAAAACAGCTTAAAGCAAAAAAGAAAGCATAATATTTTGAATGGGAAATCAATCACAAATAGAATTTGAAAGAATGTTACAAACTCTGCAGTGTATTAGTGACATGGATGCACGAAGGCTGGGTTGTTTTGAAGTGCATCAAACTTATAGTCATGTATCATTGCTATTGATTTGGCAAAAACACCTTGCACTGGTGAGCTGCTTCAATGTTTATTTATACAGGAAAGGGGACTGTAAACACACTACTAAATCAACAGCCTTGGGGTGCTGATCACTGTAAATATACTCTTGTAAATTTATTAAATTTTTTAAACTCCTTTTGGGCTTATGATGACGAAGTAAAGCATGTACTTGTAATGAAAACATTACTCTTAACACTTCTTGATGCATAAGGATATATTCCCGGTTAATGAAGTTCCCAACATCTTAGCTAGATTTGTGCCAACGACAATTCAGCAATCTACTGTATGTTTCTATTACAAAAATAATTAACAGGATCATTTACAATTGAAAGAATTAAATGAGGAAAAAAATCATTAGTGGGATCATTTACAATAAAATTACACAAAAGGAAAATAAATGGTAATGATTTTAAGACAAACACAAGGGCAGACACTGACAGTAAGAGAGGCCACTTATACAGTCAGGAAATTAAAAAAAAAATGGTGTTGGACAGAAGGTTATGGGTGATGTTGTACTCCACTGGAGCTGTAAAAAAAAAAGAGAGAGTGAGCTGGGTCCTTAGGCGAGAGGTCTGCACACGTTTTTCTTTTGCAACATGCACTCATGACAGGAATGAGGGCAACACAAAGTTGGGGAAGATGGACGTCATTCCAAGGAAACACATGTCTGAAAACAGAAAAGGCTGCAAGCCAGCCACAACAACCACACACAGGCCAGCTCAAACAGACAGCAGGGGGAGCTGCGCTGCGCCCAAGACTGGAATAAATAATTGTGTGCAATGGTTATTTCTTGCTCTTAACTCCTGACCTCCTACCCCAACCCCACCATCTCATTCATGACACTACCCTTCCTCCCCCAAACCCACAGCACATTTAAGATACAGCAAGAGCCAGAAAATGCTTTTTTAAAAAGGTGATAGATTTGTCTTGTCCTTCAATTGATATGGACTGCCAACTGACCAATATGTTGTCAAAGTAGACAAGAATATTCCCACTGAAAGTCACATGACAAAATGTGATTGAAACTAGCGAGTGTGATTTATATCCAATTGAAATAGTGAAGCTAAAACAGTATCTTCGATTAACATTCTGCTCTGGTTTGCTTTAAATTGCTGCCTTCCTCAAAGTCTAAACATACGTGTCTCTTAAATTTAAGAAGGACACACAACTCCTGTTGCCATGGTAGACACACTACACAATGGCTTGGGCTTAGGTTGGACCATTCAAACAGTGGCATGAAGGCTCTGTGAAGTGAACTGTGTGAGAGTGAGGGGCTGTTCAGCTCCAAACAGTGGGCTCATTGTCAGCATGCATATAAGAACACACAGAGGAACATTGGCATGACTGTAGCTAAAATACAGAACTGATAATGAGGCATCTTCTTTCCAACACAGAAAGGAATACTGGCATGCGGACAAAAAAAAGGGAAATTAATAATATCGTTTGCATGAAAATCAAGAAAATAGTGGTATATTATGTTTCAAGTTCTTAAAGAGAAAATCCACCATTAAAAAAAAAATCAGGTTTTACTACATTTGTTTAGAACTCACAAGAAGTTTTCTCAACACAAGATATTCATGACTATCATGCCAGTAGTCAGTCATTTGCACAGAAGGTCCAAGGTCAAGAACAGCTACCAAGAGGTAGGGATTCAGTTTGTTGCTCAGAGACAAACTTAAACTGGATTTACCATAGATGCAAAGGGTAACAAACAGTCCTCCTGTGGATAGTTACAGCACAGGTTTTGAGTTGTAGTTCAGTCACTTTAGGATTGATAGAACCAATACACTAGATAGATGTATTGTGTATGACTTTAATTATATTCCCCACAGTATTGCGTTTACTGTGTTTCATTCACTGTGCTAGACCGCAACAACTGCGGAAAGCAGAAGGTTTGTTCGATGTGTGTTATTGCGTAACAGCAGATTACTGAGTTCTTCAACTTGCCTAACGTTCACTACCAACAGTATCCATCAGCTTCAGAAACTTGTAGGAGAAAACACAAGCAGCCCAAGCTGACCAATCACAGTTCTTGCAGCCTCCATGGCCACGTGGTATCCCTGTAAGCACTGTCATCCCGAAAAGTAGTTCAATTTCTTAACAGATCAGTTAAGGTGTAGGTATTGGTACGGTTGCTATGGCAGAATCTAATGCAAAACTCTGATGCCTGCTTAAGGCAAGCAAAACCTAATCATTTTTCATTTAGTCCTTGCTGAAAAAGGTTTTTATCTCCTCCATGCTCGGTTGCTACAACATCCATTATTCTGCTCTTAACAAGAAAAATATGAACTGACTACAGCTTGTGCAGAATGCTGTCGACCAAGAAAAAACCACTACCATTACTACAATCCCTGCTGCACTGAACTGACTGCTTGTTTTTAAAGCTTTAAACTTGTGCTTGCTGACCCTGAGAATGTTTGAAATAGTTATTTTATAGTATATTTTTTAATTGTTGTTTTCTTTCACTATTGTATTTTAGTTTGCCTGTAATCATATGCTTGTTTTTATATACTATATTATGTATTGAGTGTCCAGGTCTTTATGCTGCCAACTTTTATCATGTATCCGTAGTTACCCAAATGGACTGTGGAGTAGATATATAGTGAATCTTATTTAAGTTGGATTTTCTCTTTAACATCTCAAAATTGTCAATCTAAAAAAAAAAAAAGGAAAAAAAAAATCATTTTGAAAGTGAACAGGATCAAACAACCAAATAGCAGAAAATAAAAACACACAAAAATAAATAAATAAATAAAGCCGCTGACACTGACACTAAAATGCACATCAGGCTCTACACAGACTTCTCCTGACACACTAAGACCGAGTTCAGACTGAAAATTACACTGTCAACAAATGCAAGAGGTTACATTGGTGTGTGTGTGTGTGCTGCTAACAGGTAGCAGTGAGACAATAAAAATAAATAAAGTACAAACCAGGAATCCAGATTGAAGGCTTAGCAGACACAACTGAACTCAGCCAATTCTGTGATCTCAATGAAATGAATAAGGAGGCTGCATTTTTGACACAGTGCGACTGTCGGTCTGAATGCACGCTCGGTCATTCTGCCCAGATATGGGAGGAAAAAAACATGCACACAACAATTATGTATCTATCTTAGTGTCTTAGTAAAAAATACAGGTGTGCATCTTCACTTGAGCCCTCTGTATGAAATACCACCTCTGCTGTGATTATGGGGTGATTCCAGAGAAAAGGAGGGTGGGGATGTGTGAGTTAGTGGAATCTGTACTGGCATTCCCAGAAAAGTGTGATGATTTACCTGAGCCACCCCAGTGACAGTAATAGCTACACCCTCCGCTGTCTCTACATCCTCACACTTGGGCTGCAGGGTCATAATCTCAAGCGTTATCCTGTGAAGAATGTGGAAAAATATAAAATAAAAATTGACATGTTCGGAGGGAAAGCAAATGAAGGGAAGGGCAAGAACACAAGGAAAGAAACAGGACAAAGTGAAACCATTCACCCAAGGACTCCAGATCACTAACAACGGGGAAAAATTAGATGCTTTCAAGAGTTCAAATCTTGTAGGATTTAGATTTTTGTGCAGCTTTATTTAAATGACTCAATTTGTATTCTGCATTGGGTTCTTCAAATCATATTTTTAGCCATTTCTATAGCCTTCATTTATTGACCCCGTTGCCAAGGTGACTCAGAGTTCAGCTTTATGGCGAAGCCCAAGTTAGTGACAGCTGATTGTCTCCCTGCTACTGCCGAAGGAAAAAAGCCATGAAGATGAGACAAACAAACACACATAGACGTTAGCTTGTTAGTTGAACCCTTTTCCTGGGTCTTCCTTTGGTCTCGAGCACCAGCCACTGCTTTTTCTCTCTTTTTTTTTTTTTGGGTCTTTTGAAATGCATTACCTGAGCCACCCCTGTCACATCCAGGGGAACACCCTCCGAAGTTTCGATATTCTCACAGCGACAGAGGATGGTCATAACCTCCAGAGACATTCTACGCAGGCAGGCAGGCAGGCGGGAATAGCAGAGGCAAAACAGTAAGTTGGACAACAGCTGTTAGGAATGTCAGTAACCAAGGTCAAGAGGAAGAGGGAAGAGGGAAGGTGTAAAGGCACAACCTGACCTCCCGTTTTCCTGTTTTAGCGCCAAAAGCTGTTTTCATGTATGATGTGACATCTCTTACAAAACCGGAACCAGAATCGTCACAGCTACCACACAGCTTCTCTCGTCTCTATCTGTTAATAAATGTTTCAGTAAACTGGGACAAACATCCATAAGGTGAAAACTCAGTGTTGAAAGGATTCTTTAACCCAGCACCTCTCCAAGTTTACATTTGTATGGAGATTACACAGGAATGTCCTCTACAAACAATCATTATGCTCCACTTCAGATTATGTTTCAGAGCTAATAAAACAGCCAGAGCTCTTCTTTTACAATAAATACTGACTTGGATCCATTGTTGTCTGTAGTCAAAATACATGAAAGGCTGATTGCAGCAACACTTGGAGACTCTCTGGTTGAAGGCTCCACCTCCCACTTCTTTCCAGAAGAATTAGATCAATGAGTCACAGGCCTGGACATTAACATGATTACAGCATCACAAGCGGGAAGACACACTGCCTCCCCTTGTTTATATAATGGTGTCCAGCTACTAGCTTATGCACACAGGGCTTTTAGCTCAAGTGGTTGCTACTTGGTTGAGAGGAGCAAGATCATCTCTCCCGTTTCTATCATCCAAGAAAGCAAATGTTGACCAAACTGCACATGACCAGAAAGCTGAATAAAAATAGACTAGAAAGGGTTCCTGGGACAGCCTGTCTCTAAATGGGGATTTATAAATCCAGCCGTGCATCAACTTTATTTTATTGTCGAGCTCTACCATTACGTTTCCTAGCAACAAAAGACAGAGAGCACCAATCAATGGGAAATGGGTAACCTGAAGGAGACACACTAGGGCTGAGACAGGGTAAGATACACCATACAAAGCAAAGCAGGTTAGGAAAGTAGAAACAAAGAGGCAGGCAAACACCAAATAACACATAGATTAAAACCAGGAGCTCCAGAGACAAAGAATACTATCACAGGTTACTTCATCTTCATATGATTACTGTACGCTATCTTTTACACAGAGTTTGTAATAGCTAGATGTTTTGAAAAAACACCTCATGCAATTGAGGCTGTTAAGCAAAAAATGAATATACAGAAACACAACTACATACATTTGTGATCACTCAGACATGAAAAAGTCTCACAAGCTGGCCATATGACAACCCAGACTCTACTCTGTAGACAGTTTCATTGCAAACAAAAGCTGCTTCACTGACATTAAATCAGCACCTTTGAACCCAGTGCCACAACTCTGAGATTTTACACATTTTATACATTTTACAGTAAGTAGCTTTAAGCTTTACAGCAGGTCAAAGGCCAAACAAACAAGTCATCCTCCCTTTAAGTGTCATTTTTTCAGCTGCAGATTTCATCTCTTGATTAAGATCAGACTAAAACTTTTATTATGTGGTTTTAAGCTCTGGCAGAAACAAAGCCCAAATTACATTTGCTTAATTATTATCAAATTAATAACATATGCAAATCATTTGTAATTTCTCTTTTTTGCCTTAGTGTCAGTGTTTCAGAATGGGAGTTCAACAAACAACAAGGTTAACAGTTTTTTCCCCCAATCATTTTGTAAATATTATGTTTTTAACTTTCCCTGACCTCGCTATTATGTACCATCTGTTTATCTTTCCAGCTTTTCTCAGAAGCTGGTTTGATGGAGCTGCATTTAAAAGAAGCGGGCCGTAGGCCGCTATGTTTACACATTTGGTAAACATTTATTTTTAATATTGATGTTGTTTATTTACCATAAAAACCTTAATAAAACTTAACTTTTTCAGAGTATCTGCAGTTTCACAAAGCTTCATTTAAAATATCGACATTCTTAATACCTATGAAAATGACTATTTTCAAAACAGAAAAAAAAACCCTTGTTATTCTTAAATGTTTCAGCATAATTCAGGCATTTATCTTATTGTCAACAAATCCAACGACAATAATTGAACAGTGCATTTGGTGGGAACTATTTTTAGTCGTAGATTAATGCGCATTTGGTGTCTGTATTTAGAGCATCAGGACAATGTATGTGTGACTGACTCTAAATAAACTACATTGCCCATGTTCATCACTGTGAAGGAACCCATGTGATGCAGCTCTATGGCACAGAGGAATAAGCTACATGTATAACAGGCCTTTTTTGACACATACAATACTTCCATCAGTTTGTTGTCGGTTTGTTTTTTCCATCAAATTTGTTGACAATAAGAAAAACATATAATATCACTAGCCCTATCATTTAATTACATGTTGACACACGGCCAAACCTGGTGCTTGAGAAATGTGTCCGTACTTGGAAAGACATGATTTGCTGTGGTCCAAACGAGTTTGTCATTATATGTAATGACAAACTAGTTAACAGACGTTGATATTTTCTTTGGTCTGGAGCCAGAGCAGACAGGTCTTACCTCTGGATGTCAGAGATGAGCCACCAGGCCCAAGCCCAGCCTCCCACAACATATGTCTTCTGATCTGAGCCACAGCAGCCACCTTTGGAACAACACAGACGAAATGGACGTCACATGGTTATAATCAACACACACACACACACACACACACAAAACTGTAGTAGCATCAGTTAATGGCAGTCAGATTTGATTTGGATTGTTTAACCATTAAAAGAGGATAGAGCCGATATTTTACACTAATGACGTATCAAATGACAATGTGAAAGGCACTGTTCGTAGTGCTGAGAATCATCAGCTGAATCTGCAGCTCTCCTCGGTTTTGCAGAGGTTTATAATATGTTTCAGCTCAAGGTTTAGCTCTCTGGCTACAACATGACTGTTTTGGTGTTGCTCTATAACTTCTGAATGTATAACTCACACCTGCTGCCTCTAATATCACCAGATAACAGTCCCCCAAAAAACCATACATAGAATACATTTATGCTAATACACAGTCCTATATGCAAGTAGAGCAACAGATTTGGTGTTATATCCCCAGTAGCTTAGAGATAGAAACAAGTGACCCAGTTTTAAGGTTGTTTAGATGATCATGTGCTGCTCAGCAAGTCATCAAAACCACTCCATCTTCCAACCACAGCAGCCACACCGTTAGTTCCTCTACTGTTACACTGCAAGCATTTTACTTTTCTTGATTTGACATTTCTTCTCTCTCTGACACACACACAGTGTATGTGTACACTGTGTGTGTG